ATGTCTTGTTCAGAAGCCTTATTTTGGCAATACTAGATTTTGCATCAGTTGTTTGGAACAACCTGAGTGTCACTGCTGCGGCGGCGTTTGAGCGTGTCCAAAAAAGATGCGTAAGAACGTTTCCCGTTAGAGGAAAAAAATGGTCTGGGCCCTACTCTTATCAGAATGTACTTAATTTTGGGGGTTTGAACGAGGTAAAATCTAAACGAGAAAGTGGTGGACTAATATTTTTGTTCAAATACTCACCCGCGTATTATGACTGCTCAATGGTCATATCTCTCATTCAGATTAAAGTTACTGTGAGACATTCTCGCTGCAATTGCGCATTCACCCTTAAAAATCCACTCAAGAGACAAAAAAAATTAACAGTTTGGTTGGACACTAGAGTCGAGAAATGAATTTTATGCGAAAAAGTACATTTTAGAGCAATATTGAAGGCGCGAGATTTATTTCAAATTCTGCACGCAAAGTTTAATGCGTCACGCACATACACTCTTCACATCAACAAGGTGGTCATACACTTTCTCCACCTCAACGTGATGACCAAGCCGATTAATCTCTCCTCCACGCACCTGAGATGCCAAGAGAGAAAACAAGTGGAAAGGAAGTGACTACCGACTAAATCATGCCTCGCGCCGTAAATATTGCCCTTTTTTGCGTAAACGTTATTTTTTGGCTTGCCTGTCCCAACCAGACTGCTAAAGACATTTTTTTTTTCAGTGGCCCTTAAACTTGATGTATTGTTTATCCCCGCTATTTCCCCCATTCAGAACTTCTTTAATCATCATGACACATCGTTCTTTAGTTACATTTTCAATCATGGAATTTTGTCGTTTAAGAGGAGCATTCCACTTTGTTATAATCTGTTTTTTTGCAGTGCAGTATACTGAACACGTTTTTGTGCACTACCATTATATACTTATCGCTGGTGGTAGGCGCAATAAATAAATAAATATATCACCATAGCCTTTACAACGTAAATCTCTGGTTGCCGTTCTTCCTTCACCATCCGCGTTTTGAGCGTCCCTTAAATGTTAGGTGTGCTTAGAATCGGCATCCGGACAAGCAACCAATGTCGTGAGGGTCTTAGTGGTCCGCTTACACCAGGAATTTCTTGACTGGTATGAAACGTCCCATGTTTGCAAGCAAAGAGATGCCATCGGTGGTGGTGACTGTTGTATTTCGTTCGGCCGCTTGTCTTCATCGTCTCTTAAAATACTGTACCTAACCTGGACATCTCCAAGTTAGCTGCAACATTTAATGTTCTTAGTGCATCACTCAGCGGCTCGCTGTTACACGTTGCTCAGAAAAAGAAATCGATTACAATTACAATTCTTACTGGTTAAAAATGTTTATTTAAAATTTTTTGTATACCTAAAAAAGTAATCCCATACAAAAATGTCCGAGGTCGGCTATAAAAAATTCTCTGTATGGTCGGCTTTAGCTCTTTGGCCCAATTTGCTAAAAAAAACTATCTATGGCTGTCTTTAGCATTTCTCGTGGTCACCATTATGCACCTCTTTAGCTTTATCTACGGCCCTATCACTGTTCAACCATAGCGCTCTTTAGCTTTTCTAATAGCTGGCTAAAGACTTCTATATGGCTTACCCAACGGCTCTCTTAGGCCGATATGCTTTAGCTGTCTATAGTTTCTCTTGGTTGCTTTAGCCATCAATAGCTCCTCACGCGTTCTGCTAAAGAAAGGTGCGAGAGTCTACCTATGGCTCTCTATAGCCAGCATGCTTTAGCTGCCTATGGTTCTTTTCTGTCTTTAGACATTTATATGATCTGTTCAGGAAGGCTGCATGAGTTCTCTTGTCTCTTAATAACTAGCACACTGTAAAAAAATTATTTTCAAGTTCCCTCACTTTTGTACGCTTCATGGTAGATACACATACATCCCTGGACAAACAATACACAGAACACAAGCAGAACATCCGCCACGCAACAGCAACAACGCAGCGACACCGAACCATATGCTGTATATGCTGTTCTACTTTACCCATAACTGAAATAAACGCCGCAGCCAAAGGGAGCTCATCCATCAAATCGCTGCTACAGACGGCACGCTTCGCACCATCGGGACAGGGGAATTTCGGCGACGTTTGACGCGCGGCTTGAAAAGCTGATAACGCCGGTTCTTCCCATGAGACAGTTAATGCTTTAGTATTAAAACACCATGCACGAAAGTAAATACCTACCAACGTAGTCCCAGATACTAAGCCAGCAGAGAAATTCCGAAACAATTCAATACGTTTCTTCGTCTCCCGGCGGCATCAAATGGCTGGCTCCACAAACCTGGGGATCTATGTTGGACAAATGTTTCGTTTCTCCTAAAAGAAACGGAAGTGACGACATCGCGTCTGATTGGTTGAGGCTCGAATGACGAAAGTTCCCTACGAAAATGTGGGCGGAGACGGCGAATCGCCCCCACTGGAAGTGACATCACTTTGACGTATCGTTTCCTCGGTGTTTCGTCTGAAAAGGGAACGAGTCTGTCGATGGTCTCTTCGCGGTAGCGAAATTGGAAACACAGCGTCTCGGAGGCAGAGCGACAGTCTTTCTATTGTTCAACTTTTTTTTTCCGTCCGGAAAGGCTCCACCGGCTGCACCGCGACACCGCGATGCCTTTAAACTACCGGAGGAAGCTTTTCGGAGGCAGTACCGTCTCACCAAGAATGTGGTCCGTTGATTGTGCGGCGAACTGCGCGAGGAGCCAGAGTTGAGGCTGCGAGGTTCGTGGACGGTGATGTCTGTGGAACAGCAAGTGTTGTGCGCACTTCGCTTTTACGCCACGGGGAGCTTTCAGGGCATGGTGGCGAGCAAAGAGCACATAGCGAGGAATCAGGCTACAGTCGGCATCGTTGTGCGGGCTGTGTCAGCGTCTGGGGATCCGGCGCGGCTGGATCGACTTTCCCCAGACAACCGGCAAGAGGGACGACGTCGAGAGGGGCTTCCAACGGCTCGGCAGGATACCCGGCGTCATCGGTTGCGTCGACAGGACGATGATCGCCAACGTCGGCCCGTCACAGAACGACCCCACCGTCACGAAGGCGGCGTATTGGTGCCGCAAACAATTCTACGCTCTGAACGTGATAGGGGTATGTACAATCACATATATACTACGTCTCACCTTAGCATGAGTGCAAGCGCGAACGGCTTGACTGGAGCACTCGCTGCACGAGCGCTCGTGCAGCCGTCGGGGCTTTATCCAAAGCAGCTAGCTCGCGCTTTTAGCTATAGGTCAATGACCGTTCTGAATGGGTTTGAAAAAGAGCGTAACGCTAATACGGTGTGGATATGCCAGTTAATAAATGAGAGTTGTGAATTGTTAGCACTCGTTCATCCTCCGCACAAGCGTTTGTTCGACGAAGGAAGGGAGGGTTTGTTAGCTGAAGAGCTTTCGATCTCCGTTTGTTTTCATGTCGTGCGAAGCTTTTAAGCATTAGTCCCTATCCTGCATGATGAAGTGTAAACTCTCCTTTGAAGAAAAAAATAAATTTGCCTAAACTATTACGTGGATCAAAGGTAGTGGCTATTTATCATATAATTTTAATCTTTGTAACACAGACAGCGCTCTGTCTGTGTCCTCCTTCATTCACTTCGCCGTTTTTTTTTGTTTTTTTTTTGCGCTGTTTTAATACTTTAAATTTGTAAACCTCATAATCTATGGTGGTGTGTTGTTCAGCATGTAAATAGTGTTTGACAGGGCCCCATGACAATGAGTGCAATCAACTGTTTGTGGATTCAGTTGAATTAATGTCGACATATGTCTCACTATTGCAGGTGTGACGCCGACTGAAGGGTGATGAGCATCGACCCACGGTATCCTTGGTCGGTGCACGAATCCTTCGCGTGGCGCTACTCGTGGCTCCGGAGCAACTTCGAGCAAGGCCGGCTGATAGACGATGGCAGGCTCCTGCTCGGTAAGCATACTTTATTTGTTGGTTCTGTACATTATGGCTCTGCACCACTTATAAGCTACAATATCACATATACTGTTCCGAACATGGATAACTGGCATGCGCTCTGACCATACCTGTGACACGTCTCCTTGGAAACACTCTGACGCAGCTGTCAACTACGGGGGGGGGGGGGGGGGGGGGGAGGTTGCAAACAGCAGTTTTACCTGCTTAGTTGTCAACAATTTTAAAGGAATAGTACAACGAAATTTAGGTGCTTATTTTTTGGTCTATACGTGTTCAAAAGAGCAGTATCACATCGGACACATCCATATCTTGTTCAAAAAGGCACAAAAAGGCATTTAAAAAAAATTAGGCGATTAGCAAAGAGCAATTTCTAGATGTCGCTAAAGCCGTTTGTAATGCCCGTCTAGGAACCTTGACAGGTGGTGATGATAACTGTCTTACCTAGAACTATACATGCTTTGAACCTGACGTCATACGGACAGCTGTACGGCCAGCACAAAAGTGGAGGGAGGAACTCCACACTCAACGGGACTCTCTTTTGTGTGTCCCAAGATGGTAGGAGATTAACCCGTCGCTCAAAATTCACACAAAGCAGCTTTGGGTTTAGTTGCGGTGGCCCGATCGCTGGCGTGCCTCAACTGCTTTGGTTGCTGGAACAGCTAGGGCATCCTGACGACGTCTGCCTCGCCGCAGCTTTGCTCATCCCGAGATAAACTACATCACAATTGCACTGGATGTGACGTGCTCTCAGCTGGCTGCTCTCCGAGCACTTGCCAGTGTGGGCTGTTTATAACGAAAAATACAGCCATCAAACTCAAAATACCAATGTGCAATTGTCATTTACGGGTATTGTGGATCATATTCAGCCTATTTCTGAACACGACGGGTATATTTCAACTATCGTTAAAATATTCTTTAAAAAAAAACAAAAAAAAACAGCATTAATATCATACATTTCCTTCTCCGACTCTGCAGGTGACAGCGGCTATGCCTTGGAACCTTGGCTCATCACCCCTGTCCCTGGATTCCGCGCGACCTCCACCGCTTGGGGCCGGTTTAATAAGGCACATTCTTCGATAAGGTCCATTGTGGAGCGTTGCATTGGGCTGTTGAAAAGCAGATTCCAGTGTCTGCAAAGACACCGGACTCTGTATTATCATCCAACAACAGCCACCGTCATTATATCGTCTTGTGCACTGCTCCACAATATGTGCCGTTCATCGAGGGAGGCAGAACCGGACCCTCACGAGCCAGGGTTGGAGTCTGGGCCGAGCTCGGAGGGGTCAGTGGCGGATGACGAGAGGCTAGCTCTTGCCCACCCTCGGGTCAGCCTCTCGGACAGGGGGAGGGCTCTGAAGCAGCGCCTTGTCGCCCAGTTCCGAACCCGCCACAGCCGTGCCTCCCCGGAGCACCACGCAAGCCACGATGGCAGTCGCGCCCACCAGGGACATCACCAGTGCCAAGGAGTCCGTCGCCACAATGGAGGTCCCGCCCATCAGGGACACCATCGGCGACAGGGAGCCCCTCATCGTCCTCGCCACGGTGGCACTCCCGCACACCAGGGACGCCACCGGCGACAGCGCATCCCTCGTCGTCCTCACCTCGACTGATGCCCTCGCCACCAGAGAAGCCCCCCGTGGCAGTATGTGCCTCACGTGTTGCTCCACGGTCAAGGCCGTCCATAAGCTCCACAGTGTCAACTCCAATGCCTTGCGCAGTTCGTCGCACAACCACCGTGTTACCTTTACGGACATGTAGTACCGCCTCCGAAATGCTATTCGGTGCATCACGGTGATGTTGAAAGAGCTTTTTTTAATTTGCATGCAGGGTGCATAAAATGCCTGGAACAATAACAGAATGTTTTGTGGGTTATGTAGCTAGCCAACAGGGCATCTGGCTCGTTCTTGCAGGAAACGGGTAACTCAATGAGGCTACTGGTGAGACCCATTTTGCTTCTTTTACAGCAATATATTGTTCGTATCGGGTTTGGACATCAATTCATTTTCTCTACACTTCCATTGCCCTGTTCCATTTTACAATCTATTATGGTTACCACAGGGCCAGGTGTATTACTCAATAATCGCATATTGGATTTGTGTCAGTTTGAATGTATAAAGAAGACAACAAGCAGTGTCTTTGAAAGTGCTTTCTTTTTTTACAACAATGCCGTAACATGAAAAATAAACATGTTTGAAAGCACAGGTTGCAATACTTTCTTTAAAATTGAGCATGGACTATTAAACACCGTATAAATTCTTTGTCATTATCCAGGATATATCACAGACATTATTTCACACTACACTTCACTTAATTCAGCACACTGCCATTTCGTGTGTGTTTTGTCACACATGGAAGCATGACAGATTCCATAGTAGAGGAATGTTGAGATCAACAATGATATAAGAAAACAAACAAACGAAAAACACAGGGACACAGACGAAGGAAACAGGACAAAATGCACTCTTAACTGAAGTTTATTGAAAATTTAACTTCGGTTGAGAGTGCACCTTGTCCTGTTTCCCTTCGGCTGCGTCCCTGTGTTTTTTTCGGCGCTTTTTCTGTTTGCCATGAACGAACTGGCCCAAATCTCTACTTTATTTTGAGAAGAGAAAAATGGCAAACCCGGACGCCAGTTTCAGGCGGGTGGCAAGTTGTGGCTAGAGCGCAGACCTCTTGGTTTCAAATAAAGAAAACCTGGGAGCGTCCAGGGCCGAGTCCTCGCCCACCAGCGCCAAAATATGTGAGTATGGTGACGCCAGTGAGCGCACCCGGGCGCCTCCGCCCCCTGTTTGCCTGCGGGTAAAGGAAGTAATTCAATAGCTTGGTCCACACTATGAGTAGACTACGCAAATTCCCTCGCCTGTTTCGCCAGCTCCGCGCCCGCGCCTTCGACACCCGCATGGCCCAGTAGCGTTTCCAACCTTCCTGCTCCTTCCTTGGAGGCCCGAGGAAGTTGAGCCGGGAGGTTAGCTCGTTCCAGGGACGAACTTTGTCGTCTCTGGACAGCGCCGGGCTCAGCTCAGTTGCGCCGCGTACCAGAGAGGCCACAGCCTCCCGTTTCTTGAGCAGTCATCAGCGCCACTAATTTGAACTAGGCGCTCATCCGCGTCCCGCATGTTGTTCTAACCTTTTATGCGAGTTTATTCCATCTAATATTTTTTGGAACCGCTACAAAATCAGTTGTTCATTTCAATATAGAACACGTGTATTCGTTTAGTTTGACAAGTTTCTTTAAAAAAGAGCCGATGTGAAGGTCGCCGCAGCAAGGGATTGGCTGCCATCGTTTGACTAAAAGCAGAAAATGCCTTTCCGGTTGCCGGAGAAACGGACGCTTGCTTAGGGACTAGGTACCACCGGGAAAGCGTAGGTACGGCAGGGGGACAGCGTAGCTACTTCCGCTCTTCGGCGGTTGGCTCTTGACGCCTCTCAAGTGAGTGACAGACACCAATCTTGCCATGTCGTCACGGCGTCATAGAGGGCGGTTTCGCGGTGTGCGCCGTTGCTTGGTTACGCGTCACCTGCCGCTACGTCACTTCTGTTTCTAGTTTCTCGAAAGTCCAACATAGGTCCCCTGATGACTCCAAAGGTCTCCCCGGTGCAAACTGCACCGTTTCTGCATCATTTCTACACCCCTCGCGCTAAATCGTTCATATGCTGTGGCAGTAGCATTCCGGCAAACAGATTCACCACCTTGAACTCAAACCACCAACGCCAAACCAATCTCGTTCGGAGTCATACCGCCGCTTGTGGGCACCGTCGCTGTTGTTCGTGAAGACCCACCTGTCGCTAGTTGAGATGGTGATTTAACTACACCTTCCGTGTCACCCCTGGGACTTCCAATAGCTTCGCAGACGATTAGAACGTGTTCAAGAGAGTGTTTGAGACGCACAAAGCACCGAACACAAACCGAACCGATGAAATGAACGGTTGCCATATTTGCTTCTCCGCCGCTCGCACACCGCAAAACCGCACCGTTGCGGTGCGCAAGCGCACCGAAACGGTCTGCCGGAACGCAACGCAATGCAACGCGCGCCGCAAAGGGCGCACTGCGCGCAAATATCTGTCCGACAAGATCGGAGCCAAAAAACAAGGAGCGCGTTGGTGAAAATTCTTCGATTCCAGTAAGATCGGTGCGGCGACGCGCCGTGAGGCGTGTACGTCACAGTGACGTAGGGACGCCTGCACCGGTTGCTATGTGGATACTGTCGCGCCCTGCCACGCGGGGCCCGTTTTCCTCGCTCGTGTGTCCCCCGCTTTACAGGTGAATGCAGCAGTGCAGGAAATCGATCACTAGTCGCCACGCACCATTGTAAAACTACCGTGCGAAAACTGCACGAGTACCCAAATGCTGCGAACGCTGAAGACTTCCCAAGCAGCAGAAGGTTTTTAACCAAAATTTGGTTTTTGTCCAAATATTTTGGTACCTGAAATGTCAAATTTTCCAAGGTACACTTATACTTTGACACCAATATTCGTGTAAAAAGGGTGCATTTTGGAACTACCATCCTTGCTACACCTTTTTACACAATTTTTAGGCGCCTTTTGGGTATTTATGTGTGTAACAAAGGTGTAATGGCCATTTACACCCTTCCTGCGTCTTTCATTGCACCCTGCAAGTAGCGAAATCGTGTGAAAAGGGTGTAACGCCTTTTTCATTGACCTTTCACGCAGTACATCGAAGTACAGTGTAATGACAACACTATCAAATACACCCATAATTTCATAATCATATTTTTTTGTTGTGTTAGGGAAAGTTTGTAATGATCGTCTCAAATTGATACGTATACATCTTAATAGTTCTATTTCATATATAACAACGTTCATTGGCTGTGCTTAAGGTGCAAGGATCATGGTAATTTTTTCTTTAGCAGCGCCCCACAAAACCTTCTCTGCAGCGTCGGCATGGCAGATATGCGCACCAAACCGCGCTCATCAGCGCTGGTCGTCGTTGACACAGCCGCATCCCCCCTGTGTCGTCACGGCCACGGGCGGCTCTCCCACCAGGAAAATATCTACATATATTTCACAGCCTTTCTGCCCGACAACAGGCACGTCTCCCGCGGGAGCACACAGTGTTGCACCGATATTAGAATCAAATAGGAAAGAGTGTGCCTGTACCATATTGATCCAGCCGATATCTGTGAAATATCGGATGGGTCGCGCCGAGGCCATCGTGAGACCGGACGCCGTTTTTTGTTGAGTGTATAAAGTGTCCTTCGTGAATCGATAGGGTGGTCAGGTATTCGGATATCTTGACCTTTAAAAAAAAATGTTGAAAGAAAAGTAAAACGGAACTTGCTTATTTTTAGCCCTAGAAGGACAGACGAAGCAAGCAGAGGGAGCTTAGCAGCCTCGTCTATCACCCTTGTGCCTCGCCTTTTGTTAAGCCTCCTCACTTTCTTTTTCTTTGAGTGGCTATGAGCAAGCGCGACAACCGCCTCAAGCAAATCAAAAGGGTGAAGCGAAACACGCGACAGCTCTTCGTAGGACAAAAACGATTCTACGAAAATTTGTCATGTGACTCGCTCTGACGCGCTGGTGGGCTAAATGGAGCCGTAGTTTTTGCCATATGCCAAGTTTTTGCGATGGATAGGGGGGCACTTAGCCCGCGGTTTCCGAAATGCGCTCTTTGGTGTTCTGCTTTTCGTGCTTTGAAGTCGCGGCGATGCTTTTTGTCGCCAACGGCCGGAATGCGTCGATACCAGCCTTTCGGTAATATTCAATTTCTATGTCGTATTTTATGGAAATATTGTGCTGTGTTTGTTGGACGCGCTTCGACAAAGAACTGTTCATCTGTGACAGCGAGACTTTGTTGAGTGTGGGAGACCTTGCTTTGTTTCTCGACATAGTGTTTACGTTTCTCTGTGCCGGCCCAGCTGGATTACGCATCAGTCACGGATTACATGATATCGCTGTTTGATAATAAGTGCACAGCATGCATGCTTTTGATATTAGTCCTGCTTCTGTCAGAATGGAGAGTTTTAGTATATCGTGGCAAATACCCTCGATACCCTCGATAATGATACAATGCTTTGGCAAAGGCGGCGGGGCAGTATTGGGTATCGTTGTTGAGCTGTCGGAACGGTTTACTATAACTCCCTAATCTCCGCGGATATTCGTGTTTCATTTATGAATGCTGCTCGGCATGAAAACTGTGTGATTCTATTGAATAACATCCTACCCGTTCCACAGAGAAGCATCACCTTTGTAAATACATCAATGACAAGCTGTGTGCAATGATAGTGGGTTAATAAACGTCTGTGAGAGATTGAAAAGAATTCTTGTTTTCCATGTGAGAAGCCAATGCTGCCGATATTGTCGATACCAAGCGAGCGGACAGGCGACGTCCGGCCGTTACAGAGCAGGTGAATATGCGACATCTGGCCGATACCTGGCCAACAGTTCGACCTTTGCAGTACTAGCACGATATCTCGCCGATACTATAAAAAGGTGGCGAAGCGGCGGTACGCCAATACCTGCCGGACGTAGGGAGAATGTTCAAAACCGCAAATATGGCCAATATTAGACACAATTTGCGGCCAACATTGCCATGACACTGGCCAAGTATCGCTGTGCTGCTTCGATGACTTGTCTGGGTAATTTATTTTCTCAGTAATTTCATTAGGTCCCGGGCCACAGTGTACACCCTAACAAAAATAGTGTAATTTGGTATTTACACCTTTACGAGAAGGCGTACTGTGGTTTTAGACCGTTATAAATAGGAGAACGGCAGTATCACTCCGTTTAGTAAAGGTGTTAAAAAATCACACCATTTTAGGGGTGTGA